GATGCAGGGAAGGGGGGGTTGTGCCAGGTTGGAGGGAGCAGGGTGGTGTGCTAGCACCCCACCTCCTCCAGTGTTCTGTCGGTTGTGGGGGACCCTTTCAGATGCCCCTCTGTCTCTTTGCCAGCCTGCCCTGAGGGCCACTCAGAAAACACCTGAGTCAGGGATCAGTGCGGGCTTTACAGGAGACTGAAAGCCCGAGTCTCTGGCTGTCATCTGCTTCCGGTGGCATTGTATGGCAGGCAGGACCTGGAAGGCCCCACCTTCCTCTTTCCCACAGCAGTGATGGAGATACGGACAGCGTCAGCACCATGGTGGTTCACGATGTTGAGGAGATAGCCGGGACCCAGCCCCCATACGGGGGAGGCACCATGGTGGTCCAGCGTGTGAGTGGGTCTCCCCCCGCCCCCTTGCCTATACCCGCCTGCGGCAAGCCCTCTGAGGCCCACGCTGACTGTCTCTGTTCTGCAGACTCCTGAAGAGGAGCGGAGCCTGCTGCTGGCTGACAGCAACGGCTACACCAACCTGCCAGATGTGGTCCAGCCCAGCCACTCACCGACCGAGAACAGCAAAGGTCACAGCCCCCCGACAAAGGACGGAGGCAGCGATGTACGTGTGCTGGAGTAGGCCACGACTGAAGAACGATCCCTGGGGTTTGCAGAGAGAGGGGGTGATGGGGGCACGTGGTGGGTGAATCGCAGGGCATCACGCACATCGCAGTAGGAACCTGAGGTCTGTCCCGAACACGGACAGGGCCGCAGGCCAGAGCGACACGAGTTTCTTGACTGTTCCCTCTCCCCACAGTACCAGTCCCGAGGGTTGGTAAAGGCCCCTGGGAAGAGCTCGTTCACCATGTTTGTGGATCTAGGGATCTACCAGCCTGGAGGCAGTGGAGATACCATCCCGATCACAGGTGAGGACAAGAGGCTCAGGCTGCCTTGAGGCTGGAGTCCAGAGCTAGCCTGGACGCAGCTCTTTGAGAATGTAGCGTTGCAGAGTATCAGCATGGGGCTGAAGAGATGGTTCAGTGGTTAAAAGTACCTGCTACTCCTCCAAAGAACCCAAATTTGGTTCCCAGCACCCACATCAGACACCTCACAACCTCCTGTAACTTCTGGTCTGGGAAATCTGATGCCTCTTCTGCCCTCCATGGATAATTGAACACATAGAAAAGAAAGAAAAATTTAAAAAAAGAATTGTGTGTGTGTGTGTGTGTGTGTGTGTGTGTGTGTTTTCAAGACAGATTTTACTGTGTAACAGCTCTAGCTGTCCTGGAACTTGTTCTGTAGACCAGGATGGCCTCAAACTCAGAGATCCACCTGCCTCTGCCTCCCGAGTGCTGGGATTAAAGGCGTGTGCCTGTGGCCTCTTTTTTGAGACTTAGCCCATGCCCAGGCACAGATAACAAGGGAGGGCTTCCGAGGGGCATTGCCCAGGGTGGCTGAAGGAACTGGGTAGAAGTTGGATGTTGAGTAACAGAGGTAGTGAGCCAGACCTTGGCCCCAAGGCCACGGTTCTTTTATCTCTTCGTGCGCCTCTGTTCTGAAGTCTTCCCCTTCCCCTTCTGAATATTCTGAAGTGTCAAGATCAGATGTGGGGCATAGGGATAAAGGCAGACACTAGAGGGCTGCGGCCCACCCTCCCTCCCTCCTCTTCCTCTTGGCAGCCCTCGTAGGTGGAGAGGGTGGTCGTCTTGATCAGCTGCAGTTCGATGTGAGGAAGGGCTCTGTGGTCAACGTCAACCCCACCAACACCCGGGCTCACAGTGAAACTCCTGAGATTCGGAAGTACAAGAAGCGATTCAATTCAGAGATCCTCTGTGCAGCCCTCTGGGGTAAGCCCGGGCTGAAAAGGCTGGAAGGGGTCTTGGCACAGCTTCCGTGTGTGATCCTGGTCGGGGAGAGCCCGGGTCTGCCTCTGACCTCTCCAAGGACTCCTATTGCAGGGGTCAACCTCTTGGTAGGCACAGAGAACGGGCTGATGTTGCTGGACCGAAGCGGGCAGGGCAAAGTGTATGGACTCATTGGGCGGCGACGCTTCCAGCAGATGGATGTACTGGAAGGCCTCAACTTGCTCATCACCATCTCAGGTGTGTGTGCGGAGTTTGGGGACAAGGGTCTCAACGCTGGCTTTGTTTTTCTTTTTTTTTTTTTCCTTTGTTTTGTTTCTGGTCGTTCCCTTGGTTTGCAAGCACCATTGTGTGAAGCAGCAAGGGGCCTTCGATGAGAGGAAGTGTGAGTTTGTGTGCATGTGTGCATATGTCCATCTCTCAGGGAAAAGGAACAAACTTCGGGTATATTACCTGTCCTGGCTTCGGAATAAGATCCTGCACAATGACCCCGAGGTGGAGAAGAAGCAAGGGTGGACCACTGTGGGGGACATGGAGGGCTGCGGCCACTACCGTGTTGGTGAGGATGCCACAGCACAGTAGCCAGGGAGACACGAGGTCCGGGCTAAATACAGAGAGCAGCAAAGCCTGACAGCGGAAGTCACTGCGTCCCCCTCTTTCCTGCCCCCAGTGAAATACGAGCGTATTAAGTTCCTGGTCATCGCCCTAAAGAACTCCGTGGAGGTGTACGCCTGGGCTCCCAAGCCCTACCACAAATTCATGGCCTTCAAGGTAACGGGGCCTCGGCCTTCCGTCCTTTCCAGTGCTGTGCCCCTGCGCTTGTCTTCCCTGAGCATTCCTTCTCTCCTCCACAGTCCTTTGCCGACCTCCCTCACCGCCCTCTGCTGGTGGACCTGACCGTCGAGGAGGGCCAGCGGCTCAAGGTCATCTATGGCTCCAGTGCCGGCTTCCACGCTGTGGATGTTGACTCTGGGAACAGCTATGACATCTACATCCCTGTACACGTGAGCTTAGCAGGGCTGTGGGGCGAGGGGGACCACCCCATTCTGGACACCAGACACGGGGACCCCACCCAGCCCCTCCTTCTCCCTAGATCCAGAGCCAGATCACGCCCCACGCCATCATCTTCCTCCCCAACACGGACGGCATGGAGATGCTGCTGTGCTACGAAGACGAGGGCGTCTACGTCAACACGTACGGGCGGATCATCAAGGATGTGGTGCTGCAGTGGGGAGAGATGCCCACCTCTGTGGGTAAGCGAAGGGCCACCTCCCAGACCGCTTGCCCTGAGGGGACCAGGACCACAACCTCCTTACGGCCCTTCTACCGTCCTCTCCCATCAGCCTACATCTGCTCCAACCAGATCATGGGCTGGGGTGAGAAAGCCATTGAGATCCGCTCGGTGGAGACAGGCCACCTCGATGGGGTCTTCATGCACAAACGAGCCCAGAGGCTCAAGTTCCTGTGTGAGCGGAACGATAAGGTGAGGAGGCCGTGTGGCCCTGTGCTGGGCAGATCTGGGGGCCGAGGGCTTCTGCTCTGCCCCTCAGAGCAGCGCCTCCCTGTGGAAGCTGCCACAGCAGCTGCGTCCTTCCCCTGGGGTTCCGTTGTCTCTACCCCAGGGGTCTGGTAACACACCTTTGCCTTTCATGGGGGGCGGTGGGGGGAGAAACCCCAGTCCTTGTGAAGCCTCTCCCTCCCTCTCCCTCCCTCCCTCCCTCCCTCCCTCCCTCTCTCTCTCTCTCTCTCTCTCTCTCTCTCTCTCTCTCTCTCGTCTTTCCCTTTCCCAGTTGAGGACCCCCACCCACAGACACACACAGACACACTTAAACACTGTAGCCCTTGGTGACGCTTTTCTACCTCATGCAGGTCTTTTTTGCCTCAGTCCGCTCTGGGGGAAGCAGCCAAGTCTACTTTATGACTCTGAACCGTAACTGCATCATGAACTGGTGACCAGGCCCCTGGGCTGGGGCTCCCCGACTCGGACCCAGCTCTCCCCACAGCCAGACTACCCAGGCCGCCCTCCCCTAACCTGCCCCGCCTTGGGCTTTTGCTTTTACTGGTTTGATTCACTGGAGCCTGCTGGGAACGTGACCTCTGATCCCTGAAGCTTTTGTGATCACGTGACCATCCTTTCTCCCAACATGTTTTCAAAACTGTGCCTGTCCCCAGCTTCTGGGGGATGGCACAGCTTCCCCTCACCAGGAACTGAGTGGGACTTGCCCCTCCCCTTTTCTCAAGAGGAGAGTGCTTGGGGCTTGGACCCCCATACCCCATTGCTGCTGACTGAGCAGGGCCCTGTACCCCTTTATTTGCACGCCAGGGGAGCCGGCTCCCCCCTTGAATGTACCAGACTCTGGGGGGGGTCACTGGGCCCTGGGTTCTGGGGGGGGGGGTGTCACCAGCCACTCCAGGGGCAGGGACCAGGTCCTCATTTTCTGAAAGCACTTTAATGATTCCCCTCCCCCCCCCAGGCCCCAGGGAATGGAGGAGGGACCCCACAGCCAAAACATTCCTCCTTTCCCACCCTCCCCAGCCTCTCCCCTTCCCTGGAGGGAGAGAGCTCAGAGCTCCCCTTCTACCCCCTTGCTTGCATCTGTATATAGTGTGAGCAGCAAGTAGCCCTCTCCGTCCCGTATCCTTTCTCTATGTAGTGGCCTTGGATATCCCGTTTGTTAATAAAGACAATTCAACCAGCTCCCACCATTTTAAGATCCCACCACTGTTTTGTCTCAATCCTGGACACTTTCCAGGGAGCGCTCTCCGAGTTGGGAGTGCAGAGGGTGGAGGAGAGGTCTTAGGATCTGGTAAGTCAGTCTTAGGAGAGGAAGTGAGGTGGATGATTAGGCAGAGGGGGGCAGGGCATCCTCGGTTGTAAACCTATGGGACACTTGGAGAGTACTTAGTTTTTACCAGCTCCCTCAGGGCAGGCCTGACATCCTGGCTTCAGTGTTCCTATGTCTAGGTCTGTGCAACCTCATTGGCAGTCAACCGGGTCAGATGGCTCAAAGGAGCCAAGAGGTCGTGAGACTGAACCAAGGGTACGCTCTCTCTGTCCTAGAGGGTTGGCCTCAGGTGCCTAGCCAAACCCCCCATCTCCCTCTGCTGACCCGGAGGAGCCAGACCTACCCACGTGGCCACACAACCCCTTCTGGAAGTTCACAAAACGGATTTATTATCAGCCCGTTTTCAAAACCGGCTTCTTGCAGGGGGAGGGCCGGGGCTGGCGCTGGTGCAGGCTCATGGTTGGATACATGGTGGGTAGGGGAGATCAGGAACTTGGTTTAAGTAACCCCCAAGGAAGATGAGGCAGGAACCGACGCTGAAGAGCACCAGAGCTGCCCAAAAGCAGACGTTGTCGAGGGCCTTCCCCATACGCACCCAGTCGGACACTTCCTGTGAGACACAGCTTAGCGCACTGGACGAAAGGACCGGGGTGGGGCCGGAGTGCCGCTCACCCACAGCCTAACCCACCTCTCCATTGGCTTCCTGGTCTCGTGTGCTCTCAGCCACGAAGTTCACAGCATCCACACAACAGCGGATTTCAGGGGCTGCAGCACCCAGGTTCTGACAGAGGGCCGCTGAAAGGGCGACACCCAGTGCTGGGTCACTAAAGAGCTTCCCCGACTTCGACCGTCTGCCTTAGACCCACGAGAGCGGTGCTCACCGGTCCAAGTTCCGTGCCGGTATCTCTGCCCCTCAAACACAAGCTCGCTCCGCGGCTTCTTGAGGATGAGCTCCTCTGCTCGGAGCAGAATGCCCACGGACGAGGCTCGCCTCGCGGGTGGGGCAGCTCGCGGAGACTCCGGGGGTGAGCTCGAGCCCAGGAGGCGTGGCAGCAGCTCCAATAAAATCTGTGGCCAGGGCAGAGGTGAGGTCCAAGCCCGCCTCCCCCCCTGGGCTGTCCTTGCCTCAACCAGCGCTTACTTGGCGCAGCCGAGGGGATGTGGCATGAGTGGTCGGCGTCCGCAAAGACACATTGAGCACGATGACGCAATTCGTAACAATGAGCGTGGCAACCACCATGACGAAAATAAGATACCTGAGATACCCAAAAGGCATGACGTCACGGCGTCCATCGAAACGAGAGGCCGCTGGCTGCCCTCTACCTCACAAACACCTCTGCACAGGAGGTGGGGTGACTCCCCTTGCTACCCCTCCATCGCTCCAGTATTGTCCCCGCCCCCCCTGCACCTACCATCTGCTGCGGACATGAAGGGGACTCCCAGCAACTTGGACACCCTGCTGTGGGTCTACCACTTCCACAGCTCCACCGAGGTGAGGGTAGGAGAATGGCCCACCCAAAGGCGGCATCTGGAGAGGGCTCCAGCGCCTGCTGCTGTGACCCTTTCCCTGTGACCAGAGCGCTCCACCACCCCTGCTTCTCCAGGTGGCCCTGCAGCCTCCGCTTCTATCTTCCCTGGAACTTGCTGTGGCCGCAGCTCAGGAATATCTGGTGCAAAGGTTCCGAGAACTTAAGTCCCAGGAGTCCCTGGAATCCGATAAGCCGCCTGCCCCGAAGGCCACCTTAGGGCTGGTGCTAAGAGAAGCTGCGACCAGCATCATGAGCTTTGGCGCCACCTTGTTAGAGGTGCAGCTCTGGGGAGTTGAGGGATGGGAAGAAACGGGGGAGGGCGAAAACAGGGACCTCTAGCCCCTGTACCCTCAATGCAGATCTCAGCCCTGTGGCTACAGCAGGAGGTGCAGAGACTGGACAGCAGCGACGGTTGCCCGGACCCAGCCCCGGACACTGGGGATCCGGGTCGGGCGCTGGCCCGGGTAGCCATGGCCACAGGGCAGGGGATTCGGCAAGCTGGAGCAGCAGCTGGCGCAAGCGCCCGGTACCTGATCCAGGGGGCGTGGCTGTGCCTGTGCGGACGCGGTTTGCACGGGTCCACCTCATCCCTGCAACAAACCCTACGCCAACTGGGCCTTGGGGTCCCCCGGGATCAGGTGCGTTAGGAATAAGGGGTGTGATACGGGTCAGAGGAAATGGGATTGAGGATATACTGAGCCGTACTGACCTCTCAACAGAGACACTCGGGAGACCTCAAGGTGGCATCCAGCAGCAGTGAGGAGAACGAGGGGACCAAATAATCCATCACTGTCCCAGCCCCACCCTGTGTCCAAATAAAAGCCCAGAACGGGACAACTGCAAGTCCCCTATGCCAGCCTTCTTTGGCTCCGCCCTCCGTGCTGACACACCACCTCTGTGGGATCCGCTTTGAGGTTACCTGCCCAGTAGTGGCACGCTCAGAGATGTCTCTGGAATTTTCTGGGCAATTAGGAACAAGAAGACAGTCTGGGCTAGCAGGACGTTGATGGAGACCGTGCATTTCTGGCCACCGGCTGGAGGGAGCATGCTGTGAGAGGCATCCAGGGAGCGAGCCCAGCCTGGGGTTAGGAGTCAGGGGTCATCCCTTACCCTGAGCAGGCAGGAAGTAAGCGAGCAGCACCAAGCCAGAAATGAGCACACAAGGTATGATGATGTTAATGATGTAAAAGAGCGGCTTCCGGCGGATGATGAGCGTGTAGATGACGTCAGTTTCTGCAGGGACTCCCGCAGGGCCTCCCTCATAGCGGTGAATCGAGCCTGGGCAGTAGTCGATGGCCCATTCTCCATTCTCTGCAGGGCGTGGGGTGGGCCGCAGTCAGCCCCCATCCCTGCAACTCCAGGCTGAGCGGGTGGGTGCAGCTGTCTGGGCCTGTGTGAACCACTTGGACCCTGGGCTGTCTGCATGGGGGAAGTATGGGCCGAGAGGGGCGTTTCTGGTCAGGGTGCAGAAAGACCATAGGAAGAGAGTGGCCTAGAGTGACAACCGAGGTTGACTTCAAGAAGAGCCAGCTCAAGCAGTGTGGCCCACGTCAAGCCCCACGCTGCAAGTCCCCTCCTGGTTTTTGAAAAAGGGATAGGCCTTCACCAGTAAAAGCTTCCGTGTCGATCTCAATGTGGTCGATAGGCTGGCCATTGTCATCCACCGCAAAGACGAACTCCACCTCTTCAGCACTGTAGGCCTGGGAGCTGTGAACCAGGGCCAGGCTTCACCCCAGAAGCTGGGGCCCTTCCTAGTCCCTCCCCGGAAGCTGGGATCTGGAAGGGCCCTAGGGCTCCACTCATGCCCGCATCCCCCCAGCACATCCGCTTCCAGATCTACTTCCTTTTGGTCTGGTTTGGTGGCCACCGGGGCTGGCCACGTGGTTCAAGGAACTCCTGGACTCACGTGATTTTTTTTTACACCTCAGACTCCTCCTGAGGAGGGAGTAGCTGGGACTATGGGATAAAACCCCAAGATGGCAGCAAGAAGCCTGTGCCCGCCCCTACTGCAAGCCCAGGTCCAGCTTCCCACTCATTTCGGTGCCCCGCTCCGCCATCCGCACGCACACCTTCCACAGAGACCCCACCCGCTCCTCCGCATCAGGCCCTGCCCCCGCCCCTGCGCGAGGCCCCTAATCTCCTGCTTGCAGTGACTCTTCCCACCGAAAAATGAGAGAGCAGTTCTGCCAGTCGAAGGGGAAGTAGGTGACCTCCACTGCGCAGGTGCTGCGGTAGATGGCGGGGGGCAGCCAGGTCACAAAGCCTCCCTCGTAGACCAGAACATTGCAGGTGTGAGCCACTCCAAACTGCCCATCGATACTGTGAAGACCGAGCTTGTCACGGTATTGAAAAGACTCCTGGACCTCTCCCACCAACCAGGTCCGCCAGAACCCCCCCCCCCCCTTGCAGCCTGGCCTCTTGGCCAATCCTCACTTGTTTTCCAGAACAATCTCTGGCAGCCATACAAATTCTGAAGGGACCCGCAGGGTTTCGACGCCGGCAAAATCGGCCTTACTGAAATTGAGCCTGTAGTCCTGCCAGTCCTAAGAGGTAGAGGATGGAAGGGGGGGTGTGCTCGCCATCTCCCACCGGGTGGGAAGAAAGGAACCCTCACACGGCTCCCCGGATCTGACTCACAATTCCGATCCAGACGTTGGTGGTCAGGGTCTCCTCCTTCTCATTCTACAAGAGGAAGGAGCCTGTCTGATTCCAGGAGTTAGGGCTGGAAGAGAGTGTGCAGGCTTAGGATTTGGGGTGTGGGGGTGTGGGGGTCAATCTTACCAGTGAGATGAGGTTGGTTAGGGTGACCTTGAGGGTGACGGTAACAGTGTCCTCAGGCCTCCTAACTGGCCGGGATCCTGGGTCGTAATTGTCAAAGAGATGGTGATACAGTTTCAGCTCATCTTTGTTGCCCTGGCTCCTGCCTGGGATACATTGAGAAGGAAGGGGTCACTGGGCATGAAGCAGCACCCCAGAAGGTGTCTCTCTGCCCCCAGGCCTGCGCAGACTTCCTGTGTGTATCTTTCTGGGTTTCTACTCAACCAAAAATATTGCATCAAGTACTAACTCCATCTACACCTAGTCCCTTCGGGTTGGGATACAGGTCCACCTGCCCCCCTCCGCATCCCTGTCCCTACCAAGAAATGCCAGGAGAAGCAGGGCGCTCAGCAGAGTCCCTTCCATCCTGCTGTCTGGTTCTCAGGATTATTCCGAGCTTTGACAGGCTGGGGGGGCAGGCCGGCCAAGGTGCCTGTGTGAAGAGGAGGAGGGTGTTAGTTCCGGGGCTGGGCTAGGGGACTGTCACCTGATCCTCTACCCTTGCCGCAGCTGGGGACAGTCTGGCTGCTTCCAGAGGCAGCTGCCCCACTCTGTGTCCCTTATCCACCCCATCCCAGAATCCTTTGCCTGGGCTTTAGCCAGCTCTGTAGCCACAGACCTGATATCTCACAAGAGAAGCAAGCCTCTGATAACATTTGAAACCACAAGCCTTTAGGGTAGTCTTCAGCGTCGACCCCCATTCTCAACATGCCCTGGCATCCTCTGTGCGGCTGGCTGCCCTGTATCCCTGGTTCTGACGAATGCAGCTCAGGGAGAGAACATCCTGTGCCTACCACACTACCCCTTAGTTACTTTTTTGTTTGTTTTTTCGAGACAGGGTTTCTCTTTGTAGCTTTGGCACCTGTCCTGGGACTCACTCTGTAGCCCAGGCTGGCCTCAAACTCACAGAGATCTGCCTGCCACTACCTCCCCAGTGCTGAGATTAAAGGTGTGTGCCACCACCGCTCAGCTTGTTTTATTTGTTTTTAAGGCAAGTCTTGTATAGCTCAGGCTGGCCTTGAACTTTTGAACTTACTGCCTCAGCCCACCTGGGTGCTGGGATGACAGTCATGAGCCACCAGGCCTGGGTTTCATTGTTTTATTTGTTTTTAAGGCAAGTCTTGTATAGCTCAGGCTGGCCTTGAACTCCTGATCCTCTAGGCCTCCCAAGGGCTGGGCCTGCAGGTGTGATCACTGGTGCAGTGAGGTTCTCAGAATCTGCATTTGAGAAAAGCTAGCCGGGTGTTCCTCATGGGGTAAGAAGTATAGGAATAATTTTGATTTTTGTTGGCTTTTGAGGGAGGGGATTTCTTGAGATAGGGTCTCACTATATAGGCCAGTCTAGCCTAGAACTTGTTGCATAGACCAAACTATACAATCCTCCTGCCTCATCTTCCTGGGTGCTGAGATTCCAGGCATGTGCTGCCACAATGCCCAGCCAGAAGCCCTTTAGGCCTTAGGCCTTATACTTCACCTCAGTCCAGCAGAGCAATCACTTCCGTCCTAAATGCACGAAGAGTCTGCCGCTGAGGGTCATTCACACAGGTGCATTGTTGATAAGGCCTAAGACTCAGGAGTCAACTTTATTCATCCTGTGGCTCTGTGCTCATTTTACATTTCACAAACACTCACGGTCATCATTTCTTCCTACCGGTGAGATTCCCTCAGACATCTAAGGCCCCTTGTCTGCTCCTCACACTCTCTTGAAGCCCATGTCTGTTACCTGTCTTATTATTTCTCATTTTCCACTGCGGATCCCAGAAAGCATCCGTGGGCATGAGCTCAGCACCTTGAATGCCATGCTGCTGCTGCTTAATCCAGTCTCTTGAGTTAGGGCCTGGGCCAAGCAGCACTGAGCTAAATGCAGACATTTGTTCAAACGTTAGTGGGCACTTACAGTGTGGATACTGTGATTATGGAGGTTCATGAGGCTTGCTTCTGGCCGAGCGGTGGTGGCACACACCTTTAATCCCAGCACTTGGGAGGCAGAGGCAGGCAGATCTCTTGAGTTCAAGGCTAGCCTAGGCTACAGAGTGAGTTCCAAGGCAGTCAGGGCTACACAGAGAAACCCTGTCTAAAAGTGGGGGGCGGGGGGAAGCAAGGAGGAGGGAGGAGAGGGGAAGAGAGAGGCTTCTAGTATTTAGCAGCAGGGAAACTTATGAAGAGAAACAGCTGGAAAGGATGGGTCAAGGTGAGATGAGCTGTTGGTGGATCAGCCCCTCCAAGACCTATCTTAAGAACATCAAGGCTCCCTATAGGTTTCCTGTTAACGTATCCACAGTGGCCACAACACTCACAACACAGTGTCTGCTGGGGACTGGTCAGGCCCTGCCTGGACTTCCTGCTGCTGTTTACCAGGTGCTCCCCTCTCTTCTGACCTCTGGGTACCGCCTTTTTTTTTTTTTTTTTTGGTGTAGTTTCAACCTCCTCACGACATCTGCACCATTCACCATGGTCTTGGCCCCAAACTGACCTCTTGGCTTCTCTGTAGACACAGCTAGTTCAGCCTGGGTTCCATCCTGCCTGAGGCCCTGAAGGCAGGGATGCTGAAGCCTGAGTCAGGAAACTGGCTTAAGACTCCCACGTGACCCGCAGAGCTCACCAAGTTCCATAGGATAGTTCCAAACCCATGGTCACAGGGACAGCCTTGGTGAAAACTCAGTGAGTCACAGAACAAACCGAAAAGACACCAGTGCGGACCAGTGAGATCTCAGGCTCAGGGTAGAGGTACTTTCTGCCAGTGATGACCCGAGTTCGTTCCCCTGGACCCACCCGAAGAAAGGAGTGAGCAGACGAATTCCTGCAAGTTGTCCTCCGACCTCCACCTTTGTGCACGGACATACACCACTGCCCCGTCCATTCCTGAGCATTAGGAGCAGAGCAGAAAGGGGGGGATAGGGACAACCTGGGGTGTAAGCTCCCGCCCCCACACTCCCTCAACCAGCTGGGGGTGTTGGGAACATGCCCGTGAGCCTGTCTTGGTTTTCTATTTGTATAATGAAAACCCCAGTTTCTCTGGGGGCTGACTTACAAGCCAACAAAGATCCCTGCTCAACAGGAAGTCACTCCCTTCGCCAACTACTCTTGGCCAGCAAGTCTGAGCAGCTGCTGCTGCCCCTGACACAGAGCTTGGGGCGACTGCCTCCTAGCCACCAGGGCCCTTCTCAAAGGCCATGCCCCCAGCTAGCCGCAGGAGGGCCCCCTCTGTGTTCAGAGCAAGCTGCTGCTCCCGTTTCCTAGCAGGGGAGGTGGGTGAGCAGAGCCAGGCTAAGGAGCACCCAGTAGACACTACGGGAGCACCTCTTCCCTCCTTAGGATGCAGGCTGATGGATGAGGGCTGAGCCCTATTGGCTGGCGGTGTTCACGGCATTTAGTGGAGTCTGCGTGATAATTATCTCCTGGACAAATAACCAGCCTCAATGAACTGCCGGCAGCCTTTCCCTGAGAACTATTCTCTCCTACCACAAGTCCAGAGGATTGGTTGTGTGGTGGTGTGAATGAGACTGGCCCCCATAGGCTCAAATATTTGCATACTTCATCCCCAGCCGGTGACTTGTTAGGAAAGAGATGGAGCCTTGCTGAACAGGTGTGGCCTTGTTAGAGGAGATCTGTCACAGGGGTGGGCTTTGAAGTTTCCAAAGCCCCCACCAGGCCTTTGTCTGCCTCTGCCTGCTGCCTGCGGATCAGGATCAGGATCAGGATCAGGATCAGGATCTCTGGCACTGCTCCAGCACCGTGCCTGTCTGCTTCTCACCATGATGATCACAGATCAGCCCTCTAAAACTGTAAGCAAGCTCCCAATTCAATGCTTTCTCCTGTGAATTGCCTTGGTCACGGTGTCTCCTCACAGCGGAAGAAGAGTGACTAAGACAGCTAGCCACTAAGACGCTCCTGCTCCTTGGCCAGAAGTGACTAGTTCCAGGGAGGAGACCTGACCCAAGCCAGGTCCCTGGGAATTCTGTCAAGCAGGCAGCTCAGGAACACACTCTTGCGGCTACATTTTAAGTGCAGCAGGCTGCTGTTATCAGCTTACAGCGGATGGAGACAGTCAGGGACACGAGCAGCCTTCCGCAATCCAGCCTGGCCCAGAGGTTCCCGAGGGCTGGAGTGCTCCCCTACAGGCTGGCTACCCAACACCTTTTTTTTTTTTTTTTTTTTGGAGGCATGGCCTCACTATGTAGCTCTGGCTGGTCTTGAACTCAAGAGATCCATCGGTTTCTGCCCCCTGAGTGTGGATATTAAATAAAAGTGTACACCACCACACCTGGCCGTCTCAACACTTCCTTTGGCTAAATGAATTACAAGTCCCTCATTATTAGAATTTTTAGGGTTTGGGAAATAGTTCTGTGGTAAAGGAGTTGCCTAGGATAGGAACTCTGGGTTCTTCAGCACTGAAAAAAAAAATGGAATATTTTATTTTCATGGTACTGGGGGTCCAGTTTACGCCTCAAGTATGCTAGGCAAGTGCTCTACTGTTGAGCTGTATTTCTAGAGCTAAGAAGTAGACGTTTTCTTTTTGTTTATTTGAGACAGGGTCTTTCTGTGGAGGTTTGGACCCTGAATAGTTTGAAATTATGTAGACTATGCTAGCCTTAATCTCACAGGCCTGCCTCTACTTCCCAAGGGCTGGGATTAAAGGTGTGTACCACCATGCTTGGCCAAAAATAAATAAATAAATAAATCTTTTTTATATAATAAATGTGGGTACATATTTATTTTTCAAAATATATATTCCAAATTTTTACAAGTATTTTATATATTTTTAGGGTATGAGGCATGCATGTACAGTCAGACCATGTGAGTTCCAGGCATCAAATTCCAGTCATCAGGCTCAGTGGCAGGGAACCCTTCCCAGCTACGCCATCTCGCTGGCCCATCAAGTACAACATAGTCAGATGTGGCAGTTCACGCCCATAAGCTCAGCTCTTAGGAGGTGTCTTAAGGTTTCTATTGCTGTGAAGGGACACCATGTCCATGCAACTCTTTTTTTTTTTTTTTAAGATCTATTTATTCATGTATTTTGTGTATATGAGTGCTCTGTCTTCATGCACACCAGAAGAAGGAATCTGATTCCATTACAAATGGTTGTGAGCCACCATGTGGTTGCTGGGAATTGAACTCAGGACCTCTGGAAGAGCAGTCAAATGCTCTTAACCACTGAGCCATCTCTCCAGGCCCATAAAATTTTTTAAATGTCAGGAAATGGAAGTCATGAATCAAAAGCTTGGATTCAGAGCTGAATAAAACCATCATGAGTGCTTTTAATAGATTGGATAAAATGACTTACATAATCATTTGCTCTTAGCTGGGTCAGTATGAAAGTCCTTCTGAGCCAGGTGGTGATATCACATGCCTTTAATCCCAGCACTTGGGAGGCAGAGGCAGGTGGATCTCTGTCAGTTCAAAGCCAGCCTGGTCCACAGAGAGAATTCCAGGGCAGCCAGGGCTACAGAGAAACCATGTCTCAAAAAACAAAAACAAAAACAAAACAAACAAAACAACAACAAAAACAGGAAGCCCTTCTGGAAGGCAGCTTACCTCACTGTTCTTCCACCCTGTCCTGAAACCTACCTCAGAGTGCTGTGTGCCCCCTTCCTCAGGAGGAGCTGCCACTGAGAGAAGAACAGCGGGGTTCCAGGCTGGGTCCTTCAACAATGTGTTCTTTAGAGTACTGTTCAGAAACAAGATCATGACAGAAGCCCACACACACACACACACACACACACACACACCACACACACACAATGAGGCTCACGTGGGTAATGGGGAGCAGCCGGGAGCAGACACAGCTGCCCAGGTCCTGGCAGATGAAATGTACCAGGGCTGGACTTCATTGTTTATCTCATTTTTTTTTTCCTATTAGGAAACCCAAAACTAAACATCTGAGAGGGATAGACCCAAGTCCAATGGAAACTGGACCTGTTGCAGATCTTAATCCTGAG